AACTATGCTTATGAATGAAGAAGAAACCAACACAACAAGCTCAGGTGATATCCCCAACAGCACCACACCGGCCCGACAGCTCCTTCGAGTGATAGGAATGACATGATGATTTGGTTTTCACATTGCCCAAAGGGCACCTTTTTGCAGGTTGTGTTGCAATTTTACGGCATATGGTCATGGGAGCTAATCAGAAGACTAGCCAAAGGCGCTTTTGGTGTGGACGACCCGCACCAAATCAAGAAGTACATTGAGAGTTGCATTGCAGTTGATACAGAGAAGATTAGCATGCCACCGACAGCCGCTTTTCCAACAGGTTCAAAAGCAGATGTGCGCAGTTTAGCCGCTAGAAGTTTTGAGGAAGACGAGAGGATCATCAGCCATAGTTGGGGGTCCTCGTGTTCAGAGACTTTGGGATCCGATTCCTCCATCTTGAGAAACCAGCCACATTTTGGGGCATGGGGGTCCCTTTGAATTTGAGGTTGCCTACAGAAAGCCAAGGATCTACGGGGGGGCTTCCCCCAACAGCTGCAGGGGACCTGCCGCAAGCTCTCCAAGCTGGTGCCCGCCCCGTCGAAAGCAAGCCTGCAGGGAATAGCACCTCACAGCCAAGGTGCTCCATCCACTTTCGCCATTTGCAACCGAGCCGGATTGGCAGCACCGAGCTGGAGTTGTTTTTTTCCTGACCATGCGAGTCCGGAAGAAAAAGCTTCAAGCTTGTGACGAGTGACGAGCATGCGAGCAGAAAGAGTTTCACACAATATGTGCACGGCCATGTGGGTGTGAATGAGACTAGAGGACTCTTTGGACGTTTACCAGAGCATTCATGTCCACCAACCAAATCATAGCCTTGGCCCATGTTTGAACCTGGTTCGGCACTCCAATGCCTGCTCTTAGTGCATTGCTACCAATCTGACTCCCACCTTGGCGCGGAAGTGATCATCGTCCAAGTAAAAAATTTGGCATTCTCCCCACCTGGGATGTTGATGGTCTTTCAGCCTTTAACTTTCCACAAGGATCGATGATGCTGCAAAACCTTTGGGTCTAGCAGCATCCCTGCAGACCTGTCCCCGTCACGTCACGGTAGGACTCGGGCCTCTGTGCTGGCAAGACACCCATGAACGACAAAAGGGGTCAAACATACGGATGGATCACTTCAGGATATGTAAAATCATGCAGGCTCCCTGACTGGGAACCTACTGGCCAAACGCACGGAGATGGATGAAACCCTGCGGATTGACAAACTAACTGGTGCGACAAGCCCCCAGCTCTGGTAGGCTTCCTTTGGTTTCGTTCTTCCTCACACGGTTTCTTTTGAAGCCACTCACGTGCCGAGTGCCTGCCGGCCCGATGAACCCTGCCTGGGACGCACTCCTGTAAAAGTTCAGGACAGTCAGCTTTCAAACAATGATAGTCGCAAGGTCTACCGCAAGCCGCTTGTTCCAGGCTGCGAGGCAGCTGAATAAGGAAGCTTCAATGGGTGAAAGCGCCATGGAGGTCCTTGGATGCCAGAACAGTTATTCCCGCTTTGAACACAACACCCGAAAGCACTAGGTGGAAAGAAAGGTGTCCCAAGCATCAGTTTTCTCTTCTGCGATATCACCTCGCAACCTGGCTTCAAACACGGGTACATGCAACAGCTGATGCCCAGATTTTCTCGGCAGACTTGCGAAAAGGATCGGACAGTGGTGATTTCAAATTGGGGGGAATCTCAAATGAGGATGATTTGATGTACCTCACCTCGAAGCCTATGACGGCGAGGTGTGTTACCGTCTTGGAGTGCATGCATCAATATCTCACCTGTCAGTCGTTCTCCTTCTTGCACTCTTCAGACCAAACACTCAACCTGGACACTGAAGTGAGCATAGCTGGGGGCCAAAACACGAGTACATGAATGTTCCAGAAGGAAGACTGAATGGAGAACTGCTTGAGCAGAAAGTCAAGAATTGGCAGGTCAAATCTTCAGGGCAGCATTTCTCAATTCACCAGGTTGATTGACGCGGGGCTCGAAGGCGTGCAAGTCCAAACGGCGTTCGGCACGCCATGTTTCCAATGGAAGACCAAAACTGTGCGGATGCAAGAGCGGTTGTCGAATACCATGTCTCTGTGTTCAAACTTGCAGACTCCTTTTGTCGCAACGATCATGGAAGTGGGCGTTTTGAGGCATGTTCAAGCGAATGGTCGTCTTCCAAACCCTCCGATCCTCCACTGACATGGTTCTTGGATTGCGATTCCACTGCCCAGATCGGATCCACATTTCGAAACGCATCCACTCGCCGCAGGCTTCGAAGCCACCCTCCAAGTGGCGAAAGCCCAGTGCAGCCGGTCAAAAGAAGCTTCGAGGGCGCGCCATATTCCTGACTTCTTAAAAAGTGCCGTCCTTGCACAACAGCGAGGGATAAACATTGGACAAGCTCGACGTGGACAAGCTTGTTCGCAGTAAACTCCGACAGCCGGTTGCGCCGTTTCCGTGGCCCTCAGAAACAATCGTCACTGGTGCAATGCCAGGAGAGAACTCCCGCCATGCCATGTCTTGCTGGAGGGGAGATTGGGTGGTCTGAACTCTGTGCTTTTCGCATTGATCTAGATTCCAAAGTGAGCTTGGGAGTCCCTTTATCTTCGCTTCACAACACATACCCCGAATGTGACATGCGCCCACAACATTGCCTGCTTCCGTTTTGTCGAGGGAGAATTGCGCCATGCCCAACTCAACTGCTGCACCAGTGGCTCGCTGCCCAACTTACAGAGCCTGAAACTCAAACGTTCAGACCCGGTGGGGCTGACATCTGGGAATAGGAAACGCGTGGCGCTCGTGGTTCCAGATCCTGACAGATTGGTTGAACTCATGCTTTCGCCATGTTTTGCTGGCGGAGCAGTGCAGAAACTAACAGTTCTCATCATGAAATTTGGAGCCCTTGCACAAGTAACACGCCCGAAAATGCCCACTGCGCCCTGAAAAGACGCACCAAAGCGTATCAGGACTGGCAAACTCAGAAAGATATTCTGTACCCGAAAGGCGGTCGCTTCGCATCATTGAGCCATGCCTCCATTACAATTGGAAGGCAAGGAATTGGCATCTCAGCCGGCGTCCCCAGCACCTTGGGTGGCATTTCTGTCAGGCAGAAGCAAACTTGATCTCAAAGCTACATGGGTTTGTGGTGTTTTTGAGCGTACTCTTTGGGCTTGGTTTCACCCTGTTTTGACTCATACATGGAGCGTTGGGGTGAGCGACTGTAACAAAGTGAGGGCGCTTAGCCCGGTCAAGTGCCCGTGCTGTACACCAAACAGGGCACCGGCATAGCATCACCCGATCTCACGAATCAGAAAAACAGCCCAGGTATCCCCCAGTTACCCTGCACTTCCGGAACCCTTCTCTGGACTCCGGCGCCTGCAAAAGGACACCACCAAGGCTCTCAGCTATCAGCTACCATGTCAAACAAACCGTTGATGACTTTCTTTGGCCGGTTTACGATTGCAAGCGACAGACCGCCGCCTACGCACAGTACTTCATGCTCACTGTCGCCAATACATACCGCAAGGGTTGAAGTGCTGGGTCCACTGGGTCCACCTCTCAAACCTTTGGGCCCAAACGTAAGTTGAGAACCCGCGCACTGCCGGTGCCAAGTGCTGACAATGCCGGGGCCGGTTTTACAGCGGCCAACGCGTTTACGGAGCCCGCGGCGCGGGAGCTGACCTTTTGCCTAAGCCGCACATGCGGACTCACCCGTCGCACCTGCCTTTTTGTGTGGCACAGACAAGACCCTCTTTCTAACAATCATGGAAGTGACAGGAGGAAGACGAATGCCATCCTCTTCAAAAAGCCCCAAGTATGCTCTTCCAGTGGAAAACTGGTAAAACCTTGCACAGGTGATACTAAGGGCAATTCAGGCCTTGCAGCTTTCAATGCGTGCCCGTCGGCTAAACCTCTAATGTGACTCTTGGTTTCTGGTCAACATGTCTTCGAAGCATGGAAGCGCTTCAAGACAGACACCAAAAGGTACCTCATCATGTCTCACACCCAATCCGCCAGACAACATTCCTTGTTTCCCCAAAGAGACCTGGGTCCAGAAGTGGTGGACCCCCTTTTGGTTCGTATTCACTGGGAAGCAAAGAACACCCGCCATTTCAGGGGACCACTATTTTGCGAAACCCCCATGTAGGATGATTTCCACACACACACCCGCGCTGGTTTTTGTGGTTGAAGCTTGGGTGGGTCTGCCTTCCCATCCTCCCAAATAGGCTTGTCATGTTGGTCGGATGCTCACTTGAGCAGGTGCCAACACCTGCTGACCTTGGGTTCAACCAAACGTGCTTCTCAACATTTATGTAGGGATTAAGGTAGATACTGAAACACCTACCATGGCCCTTTTAGGAGTTGCTCTTGGGAGCTCACACGCAGACGTACGGCGAGCTTTGATTTTGAAAGCAACTTTGGAGAAAAAATGACAGGCTGACCACACGAGCAGCTAAGTCAATCATTTTGCAAAATTATCGGCGAGGTTCCCATTGGGCAATCGATGTGTGTTTTGCTCGGAATCGAATCTCGTGAGCGCTGATTGAAGCGAAAGATCGGGACTGTTTTGGCGCCACGCGGAGATCACATAATGATATCATGTGCGATGAGGTGCTGTTCATGAAACGGTGATTGTGGGACCCACTCAAAACCAGACAACTCTGGTTGGCACGGCGCGCAACAACATAGTTCGCCTTTTCGCAAGAAAAGGCGGGCCATTCAAATGAAACCTGTATTCTCACAAAAGGCTTGAATCGAATCTACTACATCATAGGGCCAGCTCCGGGAGACCTGCTGTCCTGGCCTCATGGTGACAATAGCATGAGCTACAGTCAAAACCAGAAAGTAAAGTGGCCCCAATCACCAAATCCAAATTCAGACCAAAACTGTCCCTTCCAAAACCTTCCTAGGCTTTGCGGCTTTGATTTTAGCCATGTTCTGCACTTGCCTCAAACTCTCCAAGCCACGTGATACGAAATTCGCGTCCGCATCAGATCTTGAAGTGGTGCTTTGCAGCATACCTGGTCCAGCCTCAAGTAGCGGTCAAGTTGATTGTCCTCAATTGGAGTTTGGCGAACCTCGGCCCATTTAGAAGCAATTGGTGCACCTGTCATTCCCTTGACTAAGATGGCAGTAAATATGCTTCCAAGTTCGTGGGGCGCATGCCCAAAAAGCTCCAGTTCTGGAGTGCGTTTCATCCTAAGCAAGGCTTACCAAGGCATATCGTTTTCAGACATGCCAAGGCAGCAAAGCTTACCTACGTCCTTTTGGACGATGGCAGCCAACCCTTGGCTGTAGCTCCGGTTTTGTTTGCCTGATCCTTCGCTTCGCTGGTTGCTTTGGCCCACAAACCTGATCCAAGGCCAAAGGACGGCAGAGGTGGCAGTGCGTGCAGAGATCGCCATCCTTGCATCCACGAGTCTTCAGCACCTCAGGCGCAAAGAGAGTACCAACCAGGGTTGCTGAGTCACCCCCTTGTGGAGCGATTCAAGCCCTTTGAACGGAGATTAAACACCACATGCTTCAACAGCGTAGGGACAAGCCCTTGCTCAATCCATGGTTTGAACCGCCAAACTGTGCGGCAACCTTGTGGGCCGAAACAACAAGAAACGAAGCAAACATCTGTGTGGGCCTAAACAATCAAAAAGAAAATGACATGTAGAGCCTTGGGTAATTCAGCTGTGTCTTCGCCAAGCTGCGTATTTGCACGCAGGTCCGCAGCCTCCAGCGTGAGCAGTGGGTGGTCAAATCCACAAAACTGCACCAGTTGGTAGGATGAACGAGTCGGCTGGTTGACCAACCGAAATGAAGTCGATTTTGTCTATCTGTGTAGCTCTGGAGACGAGCCGAATGTTGGCTGGAAAAAGAATGGTGAATCAACGAAAAAGCAAGGGTGAATCAAAGCACTTGGATGCCAGAGTGCCACAAGTGATTGGATTCAGGGTCAAAAAATGGAAGGTTCATGGTTTCACTGTGAGCTCTGGACCGGATTTCGTGTATGGCTCTCAAGTCTGGGTCGACGCTTGAGGCCAGCGCAATACGGATGGCCCAGAGATCCAGGGTTCACCGGCCTCAGAGCAGGCATCCAGTTCGGAACGCAAGGAATGGTCTTTTGTTGGGTGCTTTGGAAGTTTACCTATGCTGTGCTTGCAAACGGGTCGCAACTCTGCCAAGCGACGGAAATCTGCCAAGTGTTGACATGACATGCAAGCCAACACGATCGGCCCGATCGGCCATGCCATGAAAAAATGAGCACCAGCCAAGAGTTGCATGCAAACATAGCTGTAAGCCCTGAGAACCAGCGAGGAGCCCCCATCTAAAACCCCTGGATACGTGACGCAATCGAATGCCCCAATGCGTCTCACCTGCGAGCTCTATTCCCAGATGCGCCTGAGAACATTCTCACATTCTGGCGCCGTTCCGTGCTGCCTTCGTCTGGCCCTTTGTAAAATATGTGTCAAACTTTGGGCCTGAGTGGTCCTTTTGCCGCATTTGCAGACAAGTGTGGCATACCTGCAATGAGGTGTTCCGCATTTTTTCGTTGGACAAAATATGGCCGAACCAGCAACCAGCACAACCTGTATTGACGCTGTGCACAACAAAGCAAAGAGACCATGTACCGTTGGCACATGAGTTCCTCCCCGGGGGGGGGAATCTCTGTCGCACCAGAGGTTTCTTGTACGGCGGAAAGCCATGTACTCATGCGCTTGAGAGTTGCTAATACGATACCCGGACTCTGGGCGGGTTTAGGCCCAAGTCAGTGATTTGCAGCATGCAAAAGCGGCGCAGCCATTCTTGGGCCGCTTCTTCGACAGTTGCACCGCCGGTCGCTCTGGCCAAACTGATTTCCAAGCCGGGTAAGCTCTTTCACACAAGCTTGCAGGCAATGCCCAAGCCAACCACCAAGTCCTGGACTGGCTTTGCTGCGCGCCTCGCAGAGTTGCCCCATGGGCAAAACAGCATGTCTCAAGTTGTTTGCATGAACAGCAAATGGTATTGGATCGATATGAGCAAAGAATATAGCACAACTCTTTGCTCCCCAGGACATGCAGAATTTGGGTGGGCCAAAATATGCGCTTCCCGCCCCGATTTCGAGGTCGGAAATAAAAGCTGTAGATTTTGTTTGACCGAACCTCACATAGCAATCTGATATGCAACAACGTGCGAAGCGTCTCCAAGCCTGCGTCATCTCCTCGCGCTCGCAAGGTCTCGACACTGAACGGGGTTCCAAAACAACTCGAGACTGGCAAGGGCACGAGCTCTTTCACCAAATTGATGGGTTCTCAGTAGATGGAGGTTGCAAAACGTTTCTCCCAGTGAAACTAAGGTTCTTCTCATGAGGAATTACTATAACCGAATCTCAACTCTACAGGTAGCCGTGCCAGCCTGGAAACTGCCCAGCATCGAACCTCAGACCAAAGGCAGCGGGCCGAATATTCCAACTATGCAGCCTGCACAACAGGCGCCTGCGGCGATGGGGTTCAAATACGGCCTGTGCTAGGGGTGCACTGGCTTTGTCTCTAAGTTGGGGAACCGCCAAAACAGGCAAAAAAAAAGCACCCTCGACAAAAAGACACACCCAACTACTGTCTTAAAAAACAAGAAGCTTTTCTAGTGAAACAACCCGCCAACCCGTGCTTTCGTTATTTGAGCCACACGCGAAGCTCAAAAGCTCACGGTTGGGGACCGTCCCTTTTGGCATGCACCGGGCTGACAGCGGATCGTGGGTGTTTTGGAACACACATGCAATCTTTGGAACCACCCTGCGTTACGTGAGACTCTACGGCGTTTGGGTAGATCCTTGGTATCTTGGTCCTATATGCAGCCTACCGGGCAACGATGCTGTGCGCTAAATCGTGGTGAGAACTAGAACCATCTTTGATGAGAAAGGGCTCTCAAGTTCGGCTTTGAAGGCATGCCGCACGCATCTTGGAGCCATATCTACGCGGAGAACCCCCCCTCTCCCCGTGAAGATCGGTCGTGTGGTCGGATGCTCTATTAGTACGTGGAAGTTGCTGAAGGCCAACTTCACTTTGCAAATGGGCTGACCAAGGGATTGGGCAACGGGGTTCTGAAGGCTGTGATGCAAGGCGGCAAGTGGAGCTTGGTGGCGCCCCAGAGCCCCTAGGCACAAATTTGAATGCTGTCAAGCAATCCTCAACGCATGGAAGCCTCCCAGAGAAAAAAACGACGAGTTACCCACAGCCGCCCCTTTGAAAGGACCTCAGCCGCCCTTCCGACTGCCAAAGGCCCTCCAAGCCCCCCATTTCCGTCCATGCTGCTGGACGCCCAACCCCACGTTGGGCGCCATCGAAAGGTACTCGGGAACAGCCTTGCGCCGGACATAGAAGCTGTATCTGAGATCTGGTTTTGATTTTGTGCAAGTTGGGACCCTTGGGTGGACAACATTTGGATAGGGGATTCATGTCCCGCCATCAGCTTCCTGCGTGGGTTGGCAAAACAAAGTACAAACTGTTTGTTTGCCACTAAACTGGTCTTCCCATATGGCCAGGAATCAGGGAGTGAGCATTATTGAGTCCGCAACCCTCCCAACCCTTCTTTCTAGGAGCCAGCACCTATCTCGGTAGTTTTTGTCAATGCCTTTCTCCAAAATCAAGGCTTGCGCGAATGAGATTGCGCACGGCACCTCCACAAGGCAATATTTCACTAGGTTGCCTCAGGATAAGATCAGTCGGAAACAGCAAATGTAAGACAACAGATTTCCAAGACCACCAATCCGCCGCTGAGACTGCGGCATCGAATCTGGCAACCTGGGACGTCTTGAAAAGCGGCAGCACAAAAGATTGCCCAAACACAAGAGCAAACACAACCACAACAAGAAGCATGCACAGGCAAGCACCCAAAGCAAACACAAGCGCAAACACATACACACACACACACACACATACACACACACACACACACAAAAGCCCAAAAGCGCACACGCACGAACACCCACCCACACACACACACACACGCGCACACAGCCACACACACACAAACAGATATACGCACGCACGCACACGCCCACAAACACAAACACACGTACAGACACACACACACACACACACGCGCGCGCGCATATGCTTGCTTTTCCTTGCTAAGAGCAAAACCAAAATTGGGCACAGCTGCATGAGTTGCGTTTTCGACATTTGCCCACTGCGCTGGCGTTTGTGTTCGTGTGCATGTGTTTGTGATTTGTGTGTGTTCCTGGGCGGTTTATTGAAAAGTGTTTGCGTGCATGTCTGTACTTTTTTTGTGCGCTTGTGCGCTTGCGCGTGTATGTCTGTATGTGCGCTCGTTTGTGTGCGCGTGTGTGCGCGCATGCGCGTGTGCGTGCACGTGTGCGTTTGCGTGCGCGTGTGCGTGTGCGTGTGCCTGTGCCTGTGCCTGTGCCTGTGCCTGTGCCTGCGCCTGCGCCTGTGCGTGCGCGTGTGCGTGTGTGTGTGTGTGCGCGTGCGCGTGCGCGTGCGCGTGCGCGTGCGCGTGCGCGTGCGCGTGCGCGTGCGTGTGCGCGTGGGCGTGCGCGTGCGCGTGCGCGTGCGCGCGTGCGTGTGCGTGTGCGCGCACGTGCGGGGGTGGGTGTGGGTGTGTGTGTGTGTACGTCTGTGTACGTGTGTGTGTGTGTGCGAGTGTGTTTGTGAGTGTGTGTGTGTGTGTGTGTGTGCGCGTGCGCGTGTGCGCGTGCGCGTGTGCGCTCGTGTGCGCGCGCGCGCGCCTGTGCGCGTGCCATGCGCGTGCGCGTGCGCGTGCGCGTGCGCGTGCGCGTGCGCGTGCGCCATTGTGCTTGTGCATGTGCCTGTGCGTGCGCGTGTGCCTGTGCGTGTGGGTGTGGGTGTGGGTGTGGGTGTGGGGGTGGGTGTGGGTGTGGGTGTGTGTGTTTGTGTGTATTTTCGTGTTTGTTTGCGCATGCTTGTGCGCGTGCACGTTTGTGTGTGTGCGTGTATGTGCGTGTGTGTGTGCGCGCGCGTGTGTGCGTGTGCGCGCGTGTTCGTGTTTACGTGCCTGTGTGTCTTTATTTTGGGCGCGTGTGTCTGTGTGCGTGTGTGTGTCTTTGTGTGTGTGTGTGTGTTTGTGCGTTTTGTGTGTTTTGTGTGTTTGTGTGTCTGCGTGTTGGTGTGTGTGTGTGTTTGTGTGTTTGTTTGTGTTTGGTTGCTTGTTTGTTTGACCGTTTGGTTGATTGTTTGGTTGTTTGTTGGTTTTTTTGGGGCCTTCCTTCTTTATCTCTGTCGTTCTCTGATTCTTTCCTTCTTTCTTTCGTCTTTCTGTATTTGCGTTCTTGCTTTCTGTCTCTCTTTCTCTCTTTGTCTATATTTTGATCTTTCTTTGTTTCTTTGTTTCTTGCTTTGGTATGTGTTGTGTTTCTTTGTTTCTTGGTTTCTTGATGTCTTTGTTTGTGTTTCTGTGCTGCTTTGTGCGTTTGGTGGCTTGTTTGCTTGCTTGCTTGCTTGCTTGCTTGCTTGCTTGCTTGTTTGTTTGTTTGTTTGTCTATTTATTTATTAATTTATTTGTTTGTTTGTTTGGTTGGTTGGTTGTTTGTTTTGTGTTTGTGTGTGTGTTTGTGTGTGTGTGTGTGTTTGTGTTTGTGTGTGTGTGTTTGTGTTTGTGTTTATGTTTGTGCTTGTGTTTATGTGCGCATGTGTGTGTGTGTGTGCGCGTGGGTGTGTGTGTGTGTGTCAGCAGCGGGTGCAGCGTAGTCCTGGCCACCCACACCGTGGGGGCAGTGAGCGTGGACGGCTACACCATGACCCTGGCAGTGAACCCCCTGGAACATCGTGCGCACCTACAGCCTGACGCCGGCCGGAGCTCCTCTTCGCCTGCCGGTATCGCCTGGGCACGGCCTCCAAGCCTGCATGTCCGAGGCCGACAACTTGTTTGTGTGCGCATGTGCGTGTGTCTGTGTGTGTGTGCTCGTGGGTGTGTGTGTGTGGATATGTGTTTGTGTGCGCATGTGCGTGTGTGTGCGCGTGGGTGTGTGTGCTGGGGTGTTTGGCGCGTTTGTGTGTTTGTTGCGTGTGGTTTCTGGTGTGTTGTTTGTTGTTTGTGCCAGCTGGCTCACCCGCCGCCCAAGCCCTATGGTTAGCAACTTGTTCGTTGTCCTGGTTCCCCCTTTTATACGCTTTTTCCTTCCACGCCAGCCTGCATTCCATGTTTGGCGCGCAAAACTCCCACTTTTTGTTTTGGCCATTCATGAGCCCGAAACGCAGGTTTCGGTCCGTTTTTTTCCGCGTATCTCGCGCAGGAATTTGCAAATTGTGCTGCTACTTGTGGCATATTACATGCGCTGCATGGTTACTTGCGCACATGCTGGCACATATGTTAACGTGCCCGTCCAAGCGCTGCACGGTCACACGTGCACATGCTGGCACATATGTTAGCAATGCCAGAATGGCATGTTGTTGTTGCCGTGTTTGTTTCTTTGTTTCTTTGCCGAGGGTACCTTGTTCACTTTAGTTAAAAGGGGAATCAAACTGGACGCCACCATTTAGGTCCAAGTCCCTATTTCGACAAACTACTAAACTTAAACTTGACATTGAATGAAATCTAAGCCAGCTGTCTACTGGGTCAAACAACGCAACATCCTCCAAAGATACCGAGTCAAATCGAGATGTTAAACGGTACCCACCGAGACCCGAGAATTTCTTAGACCTCAAATCCTGAAACGTAGCCTCTGGTTCTAGTGGTTGAAAAGGGTCACCACAAAAAGGCGTCTTGAGAACTCAAAAAATCGCCTGAAGGAACCACCCCCAAAAGCCACGCTTTCAGAACTCAGAATGCTCACCCACAAGTTGGACCGCATCCCTCGGCATGTTGGGCCAGGCGCAGGCATGGTCTGCTCCTCGTGCAAGAGTCTCAAAAACTTCTCCGCCAGCTGCTCTTCCTGGGCGTTATAAGGGACGACATGAACTTGAAATTCATTACCCCACAAAACAACATGCCATACAGGCTTGTCCATATATCAAACAAGGAAAATGACGGAAACTGTCTGAAAAGGACTTGTTTCATGCGTGTGGACCCTTCCCCATACTGCATGTACTTCCCCCCTGTGCGCTCAGCAAAGCCACCAGGACTTTCAAGTAACCCCTCATCAGGGATCCTTACATTATACACCTGAACATTGCCTTGTAAATGGCCTTTATTCTGGTGGAAAAAGCCATGTTTCAAATGGTTGCAAAATGGAGATCTTTTAAGGAGCCTTCGTCATCAGCACGGGCAAATCGAGTGTGGCCAAGCGCTCGCATCGCTGAGTCGCTGAGTGCAACGCCACGCTTGCAGCTGCCGCCTTCTTCCTGATGACAAATATATTCAGCTTGGACTCTGCCCCCAAAGACTCAGGACGGTCTTTTTGCTACCTTCTCTGAGAAAATTCCCGACCCCCTCAAAAAGGAATCCTTCACTACGAGGGGGTAAATCAATTGTTCACAAAAGGTGGCAAAAAGACCCCCTGCAAAGACTGACATTGACCAGAACTTGGAAGACCATCGTAGTGGTTGATCCAACACTTCAGCATTCACTGCTCGTGGGGAGGGGAGGGGGCAGGGTCCAAGCTTTCTCCAGAAAAACTTTGTCTATCAAACATGCCAGACTAAACTGCATCTCTGCAACTCTTGGCAGCTGTTAACACAACGATCATAGGATCCACACCTCCCCCCCAAACACCCACCCGCCCCCTGTTTCCCAAAAAATAAGTCGATAACTTCCGGCTTCATTCAGGTTGGGGGTTGGATCCTTTCAAAACTGAGGCCTTGGCTCGTCTTTGGTTGTCTTCGACCAAAAGCATTGGTGACCTCGGTGTGAAAGGGGGCCCCCGCACAGGGGCGCTAATTTGGGTTAGTGGGGGCAGCCTTTTCGGGTTGGTGTCTTGGATGGATGGATGGATGGATGGATGGATGGATGGATGGATGGATGGATGGATGGATGGATGGATGGATGGATGGATGGATGGATTGATGGATGGATCGATGGATGGACGGAGATGCATGGATGGACGCGTGGATGCATGGATGCATGATGGATGCATGGATGCATGGACGCATGGTGATGAAGGGATGCATAAATGCATGGATGCATGGGTGCATGGATGCATGGCTGGCTAGCTGGCTGGCTGGCTGCCTGCCTGGCTGGCTGGCTGGCTGGCTGGCTGGCTGGCTCGCTGGCTGGCTGTGGACGCATGGATGCACGCATGCACGGACGCACGGAGGCATGGATGGATGGACGCACGGATGCATGGATGGATGGATGCATGGATGCATGGACGCGCGGCTGCGCATGGATGCGTGGATGCCTGGATGCATGCCATGGATGCGTGGATGGATGCGTGGATGGATGGATGGATGGATGGATGGATGGATGGATGGATGGATGGATGGATGGATGGATGGATGGATGGATGGATGGATGGATGGATGGATGGATGGATGGATGGATAAATGGATGGATGGATGGATGGATGGATGGATGGATGGATGATGATGGGATGGATGGATGGATGGATGGATGGATGGATGGATGGATGGATGGATGGATGGATGGATGGATGGATGGATGGATGGATGGATGGATGGATGGATGGATGGATGGATGGATGGATGGATGGATGGATGGATGGATGGATGGATGGATGGATGGATGGATGGATGGATGGATGGATGGATGGATGGATGGATGGATGGATGGATGGATGGATGGATGGATGGATGGATGGATGGATGGATGGATGGATGGATGCGTGGATGCCTGGATGCATGCCATGGATGCGTGGATGGATGCGTGGATGGATGGATGGATGGATGGATGGATGGATGGATGGATGGATGGATGGATGGATGGATGGATGGATGGATGGATGGATGGATGGATGGATGGATGGATGGATGGATGGATGGATGGATGGATGGATGGATGGATGGATGGATGGATGGATGGATGGATGGATGGATGGATGGATGGATGGATGGATGGATGGATGGATGGATGGATGGATGGATGGATGGATGGATGGATGGATGGATGGATGGAGCGACGTGCAGGGCTCTGCGGCCAACGGACACCGTCCCTCCCACCATCGCAGGGCAGCCTCCGACACACGTCATCAGATGATCACCCTCCGAACTGGCCCCAAGAAGCAGCCGTGAACTCCCCACAGCTCGTGGGGCGCATGGCGCATGCACGGACAAGACAGTTGTGGGTCCTTGATCACGACAAGCGCGAGATGCTGCCTCCATTCCCCCATTCCGCCCACTCTCTCGGCCAAGGCCACCGAAAGCCCGGGCAAGACATCCAAAAGGAGAACTACCATGCGGCTGCCCCGATTTTCACACAACCATTTTAGTGGGGTTCAGTAGGTTCAACATGAGTTGCAGCCCGCTACCACTCCGTGCGGCTCTCCCAAAGTTCGCCAAGCCGCAATTCGGGCACTCGGCGCCATCTCGGCAGCCGCCCTGTTGCGTGCGCCCGCAAAAACCACGCGGCGGGGGTCAAGGAAACCGGATCCAAAAGCAAAAGAGCCAAAAGGTCGAAAAGGGCAACGGATCAAAACGGCGTGCGTAAATCCAACCGCGCCTTGCGCTTGACGTACTTGCAGGCCGCTGCACAGTTGAAGGGATGACCAACAGACCCTGGCATTTGTGAGTGCGCGGGTGAAGGGATGACCAACAAACCCTGGCATTTGTGAGTGCGCGGGCACATGCACAGGCGTTTCCCATGCTTCTTTTGTGGATTGTACTCCAAGCGGCGGCTTCCTGCTTGCTTCCTTAAGCCATCTGGGTGCTTCTCAAAATTTGGGATGGATGGCGGGTCTCCTTTTGACTTCACCCAAAAAAATGGACCCCTATTGATTTGTGCTTCAATGGCTTTAGCTTGACCCAACTCTTCTGATCTTGTTTCAGTCGACAAGGACTGCTGGCCCAGGAATCGGTAACTCTTGTCTTGGGGATGTCCCATTTAAGAGGAGAGCCCGTTCACTTTGCGGGGCAAAACACACCCACCAAAAAGAAAACGCGGCATACGCCTGGTCTCCAACGCAAAAGACCGCACCTTTGGAGATCACGGTGAACTGCTTTTCCCGGGAATCCTCGGACGTGCAAGCACCTCTTCTCAGCACCACGTAGCATTCCAAGGGCTGACCGGTGACTTGTTGCCTCAAAACTGACAGCTTGGCCCCAAGCTCGAGGAATGGGAACAGCGTGAGGGGCGGGCGGCCTCGGCATCATGTTTGGGTGAGCGCTTCTTTCTTCACCTAACAGGGATCCTTACATTCTACACCTGAACATTGCCTTGTAAACTGTGGTTTCCCTTGATTTTGGTGTTGAAAATGCCATGTTTCATATGGGCAAAATGTATCTTTTAAGGAGCCCTGCCCAAACACAGCCCCTGGGAAAGAAGAGGTCCTTTGTTGGGAATGCGTTCCGCATCCACGCGCTACGGGATGAGTCAGAATTTTGCAGCGCAAGCATCCAGCAGCACTGACTCAGTTGGTTGAGCACTTTCTGTGGTTGGCGCATCTTGAAACCATTCCTCTGCCGCATCTCGCCATTCCACCCAAGTGAATTCGAGTGACACGCACTTGGCCATGGGCGGGGCACTGTGACTCGGAAGGGGCACCTGCGGCAATGTCAGCAGAAATGACTTCGAGATGCCCCCAACTACCTGCAAATGACTTTGCAGGTGGGGTAAAAACCCTGCACCCTGAAAAAGCAGCTAAACCTTCCCAAGATCCGGCCTTGACGAAATTGCGGCCTAGAGGCGCCTGGCTCTTCCAAGCTCGACAGGCAACTCTGGCAAGCTGCAAAAGCTTTGCATGTAGCTGAGACGCATTGTTTCAAAACAGCGGATCGACACCTGCCCGGGTGGCCCCCCACCCCCTAAATGGGCGGGCTCCATGTTTCCCAAGAACGAACAGGCCCTACTGGTTTTTGTTGGTTTCTTCTCCCTTTTCCCTTCTGGTGGTTCTTTGCCCAGCACTGCCCAGCAGCCACTCTCAGGTGCCTCTGTCAACTGCTTTTCAGCCAGCTGCACCAGTTTCTCGCGCAAGGCCTGGGAGCCAGGCGCCAGGCGGCGAATTCCTTCGACTCAGCGTTTGGAGGGTACCCATTTCAAGTTGGAAAGCTCCAGTCTGTTGGCCCCCCTTTGATACCATACCCACATACCACAAAGCTTACGGCTTTGAACGTATTTTGTTTTGGAAAATGGACCCCCAAAGAAAAGAGTAGGAGTGTGGTTCTCTGGAAAATCTTCCCCTTGCTTGGTACCTGAAACGAGTACCAAGAGATTCCCCGGCAGCTGATCTGAAGGAGAGCTCTTAACTTGGCCACAATCAAACAAGGTTAACCTTGCGCCACCGACCACCCGCAGGTTTTTCAGCGTCGCGCGCGGCCCCAAGCGTCCACTTCTTGGAAAGAGGGGGCGAATACTGTATCGTTCTTTTTCGGTGCGGACCAACTTTGCTTGCGCAAACCCAGATTGGCGATCCACGTCCCGTCTCTGCGAAGCCAAACGATATGGGCGGGGGGTACACGGGTCAAAATAGCGATTAAGAGTCCAAAATGGCCTTCCCTTTGGTCTCGTCTTAAAACGAACCCCAAAAATGGTACCCTCAAAAAGAAAAAACACATCCATCTCCTTCATTCGCTCCCAGTGCAGGGTAACTTCTTCGTTTCATAGGCGATTGAAAGCAGCATATTCACAATTTCCATGCGCAGGAAACATCTTGCTTTGAGGCTCAAAGGCACCCATTCACACACGCTAGCACCCGCCCTTCTGAACATGAGCCAAAGGGGTGATAGGTCCTGTTGCACATGAGTGAAAACTGATGTATCACGGTTTCACTTCATGTTCATGTTTTCCACTGTTAATATACACAGTGCACATGGGTCTGACAAACCGGTCAAGATTATCATAACTACGCCTGGAAGGTCTTGGGCCACAGTGCCAACAGTAGACTACCAAAAAACTATTGTCAGCGACTCATATTTATGGAAACCCAAAACAGGTGAATCGGCTTGGAAATCACGTAAGAACAACCTTACGCCCCTTGTTTGAAGGGGAGTCCCTTTTCGGGGCTGGGATGCGCACTGTGCCCTGCATGGACGGCACATATGATCGCATCCAAAAAAACACCGCGATTTAAGTAGCGTCGAAGAAGTTAACATCACAAAACGACATGACCGCCAGAACCCTCTTGTGTTCCCGGCCCCCGCGATCGGCACGGTGCCTTGCGCTCAGACACAAGTTCACGGCAAAGCTCTCAGCAAATGCTAGGAGTGTGGTACCCCTTAGGGTATACACTTTTTGGCTGGTTTAACGGGAAACGAGAAAGAACAGCCCATGTCGGGGGGCTCCAATTTGTCCTTCTTCGCAGGTGGCCCTGTGGTCTGGCTACATAGGCTCCCAAGTGGGGGGGGGCAAAGGATTTGCTTGGATTCGATGGGCAGACGTGTCACACCTTTAAGTGCCGCCGCGGGCTGTCAACCCCCATCTGCCTCGAAAACTTGCCAGTTTCACACGCACAACGCTCTTCTGTTCAACATGACGCATAAGCATCGGAGTTTGGCGATGGAAGCAAGTATCCTGAGCTGAACCGCTCGTGGGGAGACCAGTGGTGACCAAAGATGGAAACGCAGTGTAGCCATGAAGACGATCTTGGAATTTTGCCAAACATGGCCTATTTGGGTGCTTTTATGGTTCCCTTGTTTGGATTCACCTTGCCAATCCGAAGCACACTCACACTCTTCATTTTTCTGTGCTAGAGAGTGAGACTAGCACGGCAACATAGCCGAGACATGTTGGGGCACAACACCAATGTAGCTGAAAAACAGAGAGGACAGCCAGAACAAGTCGGACCAATGTCAAGGTAGGTTCTAGCCAGGGCTAGAAGAAGCAGTAACCTGATGTCCTGCAATAAGCCCAAAACGGGGCCCTCTAAAAAAGACTCACCCCACATCTTTGGATTTGGCACAATCATTTACATAGCTAGTCTGCCGCGATCTTCCTCGAACACATTGGCAGGAGTTCCGTCAATTTCACCCCGTTCTGGGCAAAAAATCGATTACGTGGTAACGCCGCAAAAAAAAAATACAGCGTAGCAGCGCCGGATTTGGGGTAACATCGCTGAACATGTGCTGTATTCACGCCGGACTGGCACGCGAACGCACACGCACACGCCCACACGCCCACACGCACACACGCACACACGAGCACACACACACAAACAGGCACTACGGGAAGACTTCGGGAAGACTCCCGGGGCGGTAAAATTCGGCAAGATTCGCTAAAATTCGGAAAAATTCAGCCGGAAGACTACGGGAAGACTGTGGGAAAACTACGGGAAGACTACGGGAAGACCATGGAAAGTGTCCGGAGGTCACGGAGTAATCCTGATCTTGTCTTAGTGTTCGGCGGGATTACTGCACATTCTTGGCGTGCTACCCTTTTTCCTAGCGTGGTTAGATAACCATCTGGGGCCCAAAAAAGGTCTAATGGAAACCTGAAATTGTCTTGGAGATTTAAATCTCAAAGCAGATCGACGTAGCAAGAGCTGGTCATACACCGCTGTGCACGATAGCTTCCAGCCTGCGTCCCTCGTGGGCGTCGCGGCATCTTCCTGCAGCAGTCAAATGGCCATGGGTCAAAATCCCGTACCCCAAGTGAAAACTAGAATGGGTGGTGCACCTACCCCAAAACGGCACCATTGGTTTTGACCCACCGCCAAATGTTTTGCACCACGAGTTGTTCCTATTGGAGTGGATATTCCCGTCGATTCAACCTCAATTCGGGGAACTCAACCCGTCAAACACTTTGGGGCGCCAGACTTGGATTCGCCCGGGCCCCCGTGAACTCCTCGTTGCTCTCGTTTCCGCTGAAGTGAAAAGCGCTCACGGAAGGAGGCAGTGGGGTCAAGCACCTGAGGGCAAAGTTGCAAATTGGCTGTCGGCTCATCCACTTGTCTGGATCGAACATGGATTCGTTAATATGGGTTTGACAGAATTTGCATCAATGTAAACATAAAAAGGAGCGTGTACCGAACTACGACTGCTCGATTGGAACACAAATAGCAAGTTGGATGGGTGGGGGATGGGCAGGATGGGTGGGTGGATCATCATGACCATGCCATGACACACACTTGATGGGAGACAGTGAACCCGCGAGGCGCATCCCATGCGCCAGCTTTTGAGGGTGGAGTGTCGGCTCGACGTTCGACCGTTCTTTGTTCATCCTGCTGGCAATCCTCATCTGCCAACAGAATTACTACACTCCGGGGCAGTCCGACCCAACAAGAACAACTCCAACAGAAACCCCTTAGAAACAGGGGGCACGCGCACACACATGGCAATCTGCGAGGCTGAACATGAAGCACAGCCAGTTGTTCACTATACCCCAAGCTAAACTCAAACTCAGGGGTGGTTCATATCCACAAAAACACCCCTGTGGGATAGTACAACAAAATTATGATGCGTGGCCGAGCCAACCTTCCCGCCCACTGTTTGCCGAATCCCCACCCCTGGTTGGCAGAAGTTTCTCAGGACAAAAAAGAGTGTCCTGAACCTTTGAAGCCAACCTGTGCCCTGGAGAAACACACTGCTGACGGCAGAATCCTTGCGTGTTGCTTGTAGATCTTGATTCCATCGCTAGAAATTTGCAGACCTCTACCGCCAAGCATCTTTGGCAAGCCTGAATCTGATTGAATCTCTGCCCAATGCAGTGCGTCCAACTCACTCTCCCAAGGGGAAGGTGCGAGGTGACCTCCAAAATTACACCAGATCACAAGCGAGGTCTGGCAACTTGTTGCGGGGTCCGCTGGGTACGATGCGTTCCCATGCTGCGTGATGTTTGCCGTGCCCGAAGACGGATGTTGTTCTTTGTTCTGACTCGGCACAGGTTTTCATCGCAAAGGCTAGGCCTGCAGCAGACTTTCCCAATAGCTGATTTGCTTGACAGGTGAGGGCCTATCTTAAATGGCATCATAGGGATCCCGCGCAAGCTTGGACCTCCCCACTGAGTTCACAATACACATGATGAGAACTCAAGGGCATGAACAGGAAAGGGTGGAGGAAGAGCCGACTAAGAAGGGAAGGCAGCAAACAGGGAAGAGGAAGTAGCCATCCCGCAAAGGGGCTAAGAGCAAGAACACCACAAGCCAACGGAGGAGGAAGACGTCAAGCCAAACTGCGCGAGGGGAACGAGGAGAGCCAGCAGGAAGACAGACAGGAAGAGGACGAGGCAGACAACAGAAAAACGAGAAAGCCAAACCCACAATGGGCAAGGAAGAAGACAAACAAAACAACCAACGCAACCATGAGACATGAGGCAAACGGAGGCAACCTTTAACGAATTGAAACCTGGTAGTCAGAAGGTATCACACGCCGTCTCTTGCAAACGTCTGTCATACAGGTCTCGGCAAAGCCGTCCCAGAGCCAAAGATCACTCGCTGGGTACACCCGAGCATCCCCCACTTGGGGAGCTCGGCTCACATACACACACACACACACCACTAATCATTCATCCGGTCAATTATATAACTTTGGGTTCCACATCATGCAGGTCCAAGAAGAAGCCCCAGGCACGAGAAGTGAAGCGAATACGAAGCCCGAAGCCCCTTCGCTCGCTTGCAATGCGAAGCACCCTGACTGCATCGACAACAACTTGTCGCAGTCAATCGTCATTGCCATGGTTGGGCTGACGTCCTGCATGTTCGAGTCCTCGGAACCAGACAAATGTGTGTGTGTGTGTGCGTGTGTCCCTTTAAACCTGTAAAACCAATTCAAAAGGGGGTACCACACACAAATGGCAGCTGAACGATCCAGGGGCTCAGGTTTCGCGACACAAGCATTGGCAAAATCCGAGATGCAGCCAAGGTTCAACTCGCGAGACAGACACCGGGAACGCTCCACTTATCCCGAAGGCTGTTCAAAATGCTGCGGAATGAGGTCTTTGAGTTGACTTGACACAGGGGTTTGTGTGCCAGAGCCCGGCCTTTGTCTGAAACTCCTGCTGAGATTGACCGTTGGCAAGAAGCCCAACAGGACAAGCAAACTCGCGTGCTGCAAGTCATAGTCCAAGATCTGTTCGGCGTACATTCAAACAAAGCAACTCATGCAGAATCAAATCTGTCAGGTCAAGGGTCCAAATCCTGAATGGTGAATTTCTTCAGCACCTTCAACCGATTGCAGCGCTCAAAGTGCAAGCAGGCTCCCGACATGACCTTGCCGAACATCTGCCTTGGCGCTTGCGATTTGTTTCAAGCCAATGCGCATAGCCGCCGAGGGCTCCTTCAAAACCAGCTGGCAAAGGACAGGTGCCACTGGCAGCGAGATCCAACATATCCAACATGGAACCCACAAAGTGCCCTGGCAGCCTCAGGAAAATGATGACCCACCCGGGAACCAAAAGCTATTTCTCAAACGGCCCCCCTGCAAGTGCCAGCCCACTTTAACCAGGATTCCTTGTCAAAAGCTCTCCAGCTTTAGCAAGGGGAGCCTTCCAAGTGGCCTTCTTCAACTGGCCAAAGTGTATCCTTTAAGGAAACCAAGATGCTGGATCTCTTTCTCCAGCGTCGCCAGCTCTCCGACCACAGGTGCCAGGGACTCAGAATGCGTCGAAAAGTCTGGCTTGCTTTTGTCACGTCTTCTTGATTGCCACTGAGACACAAGCAAAACCTGAGATTGCAAAAGGTCAAATGGCCAGTCTTCACTTCACGAAAAGTGTGAGACAAAGTGTATAAAGCCACATCCACCAAGATCTATCTAAGGGGTTCTGATGTTGACAACCCACAACAAATCGAGTCATGGGGCTATGCATTTTCATAAGGGGACCCTTTTGGCGGCCATCAGACATACATTGCAGTAGATGTATGTTCACCTGCCAGTGAGGGTGTTCCAGTTGGATCGGTCAGGCCGTAGGCCGTTGATTGATACGCACTCCACGAGAGTGATAATCGAAACCTGGTACTACATAAAGAAGCAACCGGGCGGATATTCGCACCAATTTCTGACAAACATTGTCCCGTGTTAACGTATTGACCTTCAGCGCCCGACTCAGTTTTGATTGTGGCTCACCTGGAGATTCATCACCAGGCATAAGCCCCAGGTTTAAAGGGCGGGCAACAAATACATATCGACAAGATGAATTCGGTCAAAGTTAGGTTTACAAATCCCACAACCTCACTTAAGGGATTGCCTTTTGCACAGAAAGCGGCCCAAACGGGCCATGGTTTTGCATGTGGCACCTCAAGTACGTTTCAGGGAAACCATGACGCTGAAGGCTTGGGGAAATAAGAAAAGACGCGATACCCATTGTCTGCACTGTTCCAACAAATGTGCCACACACAAACACAACCACGCACACGGACACTCCAAAAGAAACTGGGTGAAATGCGCCTGGATAAGTAAAGGGGACGACAAGACCAAAATGAGTTGGAATTGTGCCGCCTACTTCCACCCTTCTGTAAAAAAGACGAGGTGCTACTTGAACGTATCATTCCCATCCCTGCCACTTTATTTGGGGTATTCCTTCTCACAGAAAGCGCGCTTGAAGCCCAACTTTTCACCATGGTTCTACTTGGGTATGTGTCAAACAAGGGATACCCTCCTGTCCACTAACATGGAACCTACCGGAGGGTCCGCTTTAAAGGAAACAGTCCTTTTGGTTTTCCTTCTCAACTGACCCGCAGTAGGGTACCAACTCAAACAAACACATGCCCACTTTCTGAGCAGCACCCAAAAGCCATTGACTTTTGTTTCTGCTGCCAAAGTCACAAAGGTTTCTATACGGTTGTGGGAAGAATCCGAAATGAAGCCAGGCAGTAAAACCAGCTACCCCACACATTCGCAAGCGAGATCGAAGCCCCCCCCCCCGGAGAGTGAGTGACCCCGACCCGCCCACTGCACTTCTTTTTTTTTTTGGGGGGGGGGGGGGGCCGCCGGTTGGGGATCCCCACACTGGTCTTCTTCGCCGTCATCGCCAAGGTCTTGTCGCCCTTCTTGGCGCCGTAGACCACCACGCTGGCCTCCTGACATGGGGCTCCGAGGCTCCGTGGCGAAGCGTCTCCTCTTGGTTCCCGAAGTTTTAACCAAAGGAATATGAGCGGGCTCCTCTTGGTTCCCGATTTGTTCACTAGGAAAAGGATATATTATCCAAGAAAGAAACCAGGCCCGTTATAGAAAGAGGCAAGATCGCGGCCGCGGGGCAAACGCGAAAGAATCTACCGGATTGGTGGCATCTTCCCTTGAACACCTGAAGGGGGGGGTTCTCAAAGAAAAGAACCCCCATGTTCGTGATTTCAAAGGGAAACAACAAGAAAACCAACCGTCTTTCCCCTATTTTGAGAAACACCCATTTGAACAAATTTCCTTCATTTGAGTTGTGAGTTGGCACCTCTTTCTTCCTCATCTGTGCTCTTCTGCTTGGAGGTTCTTTGACGACGGCCTCCTTGCGAGCGAGGCGCCGTTCCACGACAGGTACGCCAAGCACCAAACTGAAACCGCATCACTCCAAACGAAGGAACCCTCGGCGATTTCGTCTGGTGCATGACTAAACACACCCAAAGGTGCTAAAGTCATGAAGGTCCAATGTGCGCATGTCACTTGTCATTGAGGATACCATGCAAATCCTTCGCAAAGGAGCATTCCTGAAGCCATGCACATACCATGTGGGCCTACTGAAAAGCGGCAGTTCAAATCTGCAGACTAGGGTGCATCAAAACCTCCGAATTCGAACCTTTGGTGCGCTCTGCGCAAGTGCTCTGTTTCACGTCGATTGCTGCTGCCACTGGAGTACTAATTGGTCCATTAATGTGGATTCCTTTTGGTATCACGGAAGGTGGCATTAAAACCTAGATCCTCAGACTTGCATTCGCAGATTCGCATTCCAGTGGGAAGGAAGGCCTGCACGACCAGACTGCGACTCTCAAAAAAGCGGTGCCCGTTTGTCGCATCGACGCATCGAACCAAGGTGCCCGACGCTGTTTCCACCCCCGCCCCCCACCCCCCGGCGCGCGCGCCAGTTTTATTGCCTGAAGCCTGTTGGCCCAGGGGGCGGTCCAGGCACGAGTGCCTTGTCATGACAAGCACGACCGCTCGACTCTGCGCACACACACACAGACCTGCCAAGCGATAAGCGCACCAGCTTAAGAGCATCCGCTCCGCACTGCAAACACGCCTGCCAAATGATAAGCGCACCAGCTCAAGAGCAAACACGCCTTCCAAACGAAAGCCAACCCCCGACAGCTGCGCTGGTTTCTTGACTGACCGGCTTGGAGCGCCTTTAGTCCCCAAAACGAAAACGCCCGGCCCAAAAAGACGGAAAAAATAGCAGAGACAGGGTCTTGGCCTCAACATACTTTACCAAAAGGCAAAGCCGCAGTGCCCAGTCAACCTGCAAGTATGAAAGAACTTGCCAACACTGAGCAAAGATGTCATTCGTTGACCATGGTTGTGCTAGGTTTCCGAAAGCAAGGACGAATCTTTTTAGGTAGCCTTCAGGGGGTCTGCGCAAACAGCGGCAGCAACTAAGTGGCAGCCATGCGTGTTTGTCGCAGGTGACGCACACCGCGACAACACATTCAACGTACCAGCTGACGAAAGAACAAGGTCTTTTTATGTTTCCGATGGAGCCCCTTTTCGAGCTTGACTTAAAGGGAAGCCAAAGATAAGCGCGCCATTTTGCTGATTGCCCTATTTTGAGACAACCTCACATGAAACAAACATGAATGCAGGTGCAACAAGCCAATGTCCTTCAGACGCCTTTTCCCGCTGGCCAGAGCAATGAAAATCTCTTTGGGAGTTTGGGCTGCGCCGTGGTCCATGCCAATTCGAAATCTGGCGCTTGGATTGCGCCGCTGTTCACAAGTTCAGCTCATCAGTGTAGCGAATATGTTGCTGTTTAGGGTACGCTCGTTGGTACAAACGGAAAACAAAGGACACTTCAGGCATTTTCCAGGATTCCCCTTTGAAAAACAATCCCAAATCTGCAGACTTGCAGCTTGCCGCACCCGTCCTGCCTTCTTTATTCTCTTCTTGCCCACTTCACCCAAAGGACTTTCTATCACGCCAGGCACGCTGAAGTCCTGCAACGCCATGCACGAGTAACCACAACATTGAAACCAGAAACTGATGCTGATGCGGGGCCACCCAAAGGCCAGCCAAAACCAATACCCAGTAGTGCTCCACTACTCACATCGCAAGCTACCCTCTTGCCTGCAAGGTTCAATGCGTTCTAAAGAATGGGTTCCTTTCGGATGCTACGTACATGATTGTCCTCTGGTGCAAGCGATCGCAACCCGCTTCATTGCATCCCGGCCGCCCCAAATACCCAAAACCATGGTCTGCAAATGTTGACCTCATGTTTAGAAACCCCCGCGTATTTTGCAAATCCCAGAACGGGTTCAGAAATCCCAGAATACGGCTCGGCCAAGGAAATCTGGAAATTCAAAAGGCGTGAGGAATCTATTGGGATGCCGGAAGTTTCTAGTTACAGGCCCCCCACCGCACAACCTGGGGGAGGGGGGTGGGGCGGTTAAATTATGAGGTCGACATAAGGGCGGAGATGGGCACCTATTTACATCTGGTGCGGACCCTTCTACCTGGGTGTTGATTGTTCCTTGCAGTCCGGCTTTCGAAAGCGAGCTCCTCTAGATCCATCACCTTCATGGGCTGTCCGATGCGAGACTCAACCTCAGGTCTAAAATGGGCTCGCAGCATTCGCGGACCGCAGATTTTGCACTCCGCTTTTCAGCCACACCCATATCTTTGGCCTGGTTCCCCGCTTTGAGGTATGAGTGGGCAAAAGTGTGCCGCCACTCAGTTCTTAACTTCGGCTCGATAGTAGGCAGGGCAAAATCAACAAGGCAAACAACCAGATAAGAAGACAGCTAGCAAAAGTTAAAATGAGTCTCGACAGTCAAAACCATAGGCTCAGTCCATGCGCTGACATGGCATAATGAAGACATTCTTATGCATTGATGGCCTGCCTCAAGTCACAAGCTGTCAGAGTTCTATTGAGCCGGCCAATGGAAACGCAAGCAATAGTGTCTTACTTTGACACTGGGTGTCTCCATTGGTAACCGATTAGAATCAAACTGAAACCAGTGCCACCCATTGTCAACCGAACCAACCAAAACGGACACCGATGCCTGTGCCTCTCACATCTAAACCTAGGAAGCATCCATGATAGAATCAGAAACTGGGATTGGGGGCCTTCTTGATGAGGTCTGGCTCGTCGTACCAAATGCAGCAGCCACCCTCATCGACGATCCAGTTTGCGTCATCTCGCTGCCTGGCATAGTGAGCGGGACTTCAGTCCTGAATTAAGGGCCAGTTGTTTTCTTTCTTGTTTACAAAAATATGAAGCTCACCGATTCATGGGGCTAGGGGTAAAAGCAGCTCCAGTAAGATGCCTAAAAAAAGCTCCCTTCGAACCCTTGAGCCGTGAATTGTACTTTGCCCATCTCTTCGCGCTGCCTTTCGCCACCCTTGCAGCACGAGTCCCAAGAAGAACAAATCCGCGGCAGCCGGCCACGCAGCTCGAGCTTTCGACGTTTGAAAACTGGCGCACTCGGCTGGTCCCCTTTGAACCTGCGACCGTTCGGCAAGCCGAAAGGCGAAGGCCGGCCGGCCGCGAAGGCCGCGAAGGCCGCTGGCCTGAGCTTCTGGTCGTTCCCGAAGGGGATGGTCAGCTTGGTGTTGCCGGGCCACGGCTTGCAGTCCTGGGAAAACGAAAACGACTTCGCGGGGGAAAACGGGGGGAAGCGGGGATGTGCGACTCTCTGTAAAGGACACCATGTCTAAATATCACCTGAAACAAATATGCCCACATCCCCTGCTTCCCCTGCTTGTTTGTTTGTCTGATCCCTACTTCCCTGCATCCCTGGTTGCTTATTTGTCTGATCCTGTCAGATGCAATGCGTCCTGACAGCAAAATGGCTCGAAAGGTACACCACAGCTATGGGGCCTGGGACCGTGGTGTCAGTTGGTCCAGGGGGTTCTTACCACCGAGACCCAAAAGTAAGTTGGAAAATCCCGAAACATCGCTATGCGGGCTGGTGTGCGGGTGTGCCAGGGGGCTCTTTGGGGACCATGGATTTCGACCGGGAAACTCAGGACGCTTTCCAAAACCGTCGGCCCGTCCTTGCCCCTGGAAGGACATTTGTGGTACCAAACCTTCTCCTTCTCAGTCGCAACCTGCGGCTTCGGGCGCAAGCAACTGTCTCGACTCTTTCTGAAATTGCTGTCTTCAAGGAAAACACCTCCCCCCGAGAAAAAAAGAGATAAGAATCCGGACTTGAATCACTCGCTGCTTGCTTGCAGAGATGACTGCAGTACCCTCTTCCTTGGTCTGCTGCATAGAACCCTTTGATATGGTCGTCGGCATTGACTCATACTGCTAATTTGAACCTCTCAGCAACCGGAGGTTGTCGCATAGCGCCGCTGGGACGCATACCATCTCTCCCGAGTTTTCTAGGTCTTCCAAGCCTCCAAAGATTCAAAGGGCACGACCTAAGATCCCAGCAATGGAGATGGCCAAACCCATCCGCTCCGCTCGGCCGCATCGACCTGAAGTGACTCGAATATACGCACCTCCCTGGCGCTGGATTTACCGTTGACCACGTTTTTTTTGGGGAAGCCACACATCCGCTAGCAAGTTGAGGGGGCGAAGAACCAAGGCTGAGATGCCGATTCTATGGATGTAGTTCTCGATGTCATCAGGCAGAGTCGTCCTGGGACGAAACGAGGACAACGTCAGCAAGGTTCGATTCGGCTTCCCAATTCGTGCTTTGGAGACCAACAGATTCGAGCTGATCCTATGTTTACCCTCTACAAGCCTATTTGATCAATGGCCAGTGGCATCTTCAAAATGAAGCAGCAGGCATACCACGATCGGAAGCATTCAGCTGAGGGCTGAACTGGATGACGAAGGGAAGACCGGCGATATCAATGCCGCGCGCTGCGACATCTGTGCAAATCAGGAAGCGAACCTAGGCACAACATTTTGCTCGCGTTGCATTTGCCATGGTTCCAGCAACTTGACTTGCCACTACGCGCAATGCGCAAGAAAACATCCATCCCTAGTTGCAGAGGCTTTGCTTGCTCAGGGTCTCCGGAACAAGCAAACAAACGCCTCACGTGGGTCCGATGTCTTGAGGATTCGCCAGGTTGATGCAGTCCGAGCAACGTCGCCCTCCTTGAAAGACTCCAGATTTGATCGTCTCTCGTCCTCTCGAGCTGATGCATGATCGTTGTAACTTTCCGAAGCAAAAGGACGGATGCTTAAGCTCCACAAACGAAAAGCCTCAGCTTTCCCTTGATCTCTCAAACAAGGCCCCATTTGGCCAATCGACCACAACATGTTTCAGCTGGAAATTGGGGCCAGTGATTTGCAGTCCAAAAACAACTCCGAACTTGCGCTTCCAGAGGCGTTCATCTTCGCTTGCCCTTTGGCGCTGCATTTGAGGAAGCGCCCCGCGAAAAAATCATAGCTGTACAAGTGCCGAGGCAAACGTGCGCACAGTGCTGAGCATGTGCGCATGAGGGGGAACCTGATCATTTGTTCTATTCATTTTGCAGTTGTGTGTGTGTGTGCAGTGCTGAGCATGTGGCTTGAGTGCGGCTTTGATCATTGGGCAGGCGTGTTTTGTGTATGTGTGTGTGTGTGTGTGTGCACGTACAGTACTGAGCGAATTCAGCTGAGTTGGATGTCTTATCATTGGGCGCGTAAATTGTCATACTTGACCCTGTAACTTGAGTGAAAATGCGGAGAACCTGGCTTGTAAGTTGATGCTCTCAATTTGCTGGCCACATCACGGTACTTGAAGGAAGCTTGAAAATCACAACTAAAAAAAAGCGTTGTGTTGATCACTTTGACCCCAGTGTTTTGGGGCGCCCAACGCGCCGTCTGGATAAATATCATATAACGCTTCAAACCGAAGCGACCCTCCATCCCAAGCGCTGGCCTGATTCCGCATTCCCGCCAGGACCACGCAGGAGTAGGGGTTCTCCTTGCCTGTTTCCATCTTGCCACCGTAGCCCTGCCAAAAGCACGGACGGGGAAAACAAAGAGAAGGGCGAGAGTCTCCTGCCTTGGTGCCACCCAAGCGGTTCAGGTAGTCCTCCAAGTTGTTGCCTCGAAGCAAACAATAAGGAGTACAAGCGCCTAGCCGCTTGAATCAAGAGTGTCAACACTCGATCTCGTGCGGAACATGGGCAAAGTACGTACTGTTGGTCGACCATCTTCAGCGCACGGCCTCAGACGCGGGAGCTCTTTGAGGCCCGAGCAATCCACGTTGGTGCGGCAGAAGACGAGGCATTGCGTCATGCTGAAGGCATCGGCGATCTTCACGACCTCAGTCAGCAAAAGCGGCTTGATCGGCGGCAGGGGCCTTGCAGGGGTCCAAGAAGAGGTCCATGAGATTGGCCGCCGTTTGTGCCATGGTCACAGCCCCAAACTGTGGGTCATGTTGCCATGGTTGCTCTGGAAGGATTGAAATGGTCGACAAATTTCTGACTGGCTCCATCCAGAAAATGACCATCCCTAAGAGAAAGACGTAGGCCTTTTGATGATAAGAACACTTTGCAGCGGTTGCAACCAAACTTCAGAAATGGGTGGACAAAGCCAGCGGATGGGGAAGTGCTTGGCATGAAGTTGCTTGGAGAATCCAAGGCGAAGGCTGGAAAATGTGGCAACATTCCAGGCAAGCTATATAGATTTGTGTGTTTCACATTCTGCCATCCAATACATAGCAATGTTGCTCTTGAGATTGCCTGTTAGGTGGAGTGATCTTCTCAGCGACACCCACCATGAGACCCTGCAACTGTCACTTGTGTTGCAATTCCAAGAGGCTCTTGCGACTTGCGACTGTCTTTGTTGAGAGGAACCCCTTCCGGGGTGAACAAGCATTATGGTGGACCCCGCATTTGGTGTCCAAAGAAGGCACCGAAGCGCATGCGCATCATCAATGGAAAGCCTTGACTATTTGAGTCACAATCACGACCTGGTATGAAAGTGGTCAACCCAACACCGTCTGCAGCCAGTCACAAAATGTCCGCCCCTATTTTGATTTTGACTGTCGTTGCTAACAGTCACTTGCACAGGTTTGATTCTGATTCTGTCCCATTTCTCATTCAGGCGCCCTGCCATCTTGGGCTTCATGATCTTGATCTTCTCCGAAAGCTTCAGCGCTTCCGGGTGCTTACTGGGCAGTGCGGGCGCCCGCGACGTGCGGATGTGCGGATGTGCGGATGTGCGGATGTGCGGATGTGCGGATGTGCGGATGTGCGGATGTGCGGATGTGCGGATGTGCGGATGTGCGGATGTGCGGATGTGCGGATGTGCGGATGTGCGGATGTGCGGATGTGCGGATGTGCT